TCGACTTTTTTTCAATTTGATGTTCCTTCCCCTCTGTGAAGCCTGAAGTCAACTAAAGGGCTAATGATAACCATCAAGACGCTTGCCATTTGATATAAATAAATACATCATAAATAAGTAGGTATTAAACCATGAAATTATTATAATATAGTCGCAAATATTTAGGAAAGGGGTCTTACTATTTTGTGTTCAGGAGCGCCAAGATCAAGGAACTTTTGAATGACATAATTCCCGAAAACATCAGTGATGAGTTCGTGGCAGCTGGGAAGAATTTCATTGAAGACAACATTTTTTTCCGCCAGAGATGCCTTCTCCAACTTCAACTGTATCAATCGGGAACCAGTCTGATCCTTGGAGAACTTCACAAAACACCCGGACATACATTGAAGCGACATCTGTTCTATTCGTGTGTACCTGCTGTAAAAAGTAAACAAGTAGACGATAACAATATGTCTTTAATACAAGTCAATTGGGTCGTTAAATGTATCGTACACATGACGATTGAACCTCACAAAATGAATCCCCAGTTATTTGAACTTGTGAACAACTCAGTGGCCTCAGATTCAAACAAAACTTGAAATGAATTTAAATCGCAGACGAATCATCCGATAACCAAATTACAGAACAATGCATATATTTTTGAGTATTCATTCCATATAAAAAATGGGTAGTATAATTTCTAATTTCTGTTAGCAGAAAGATTTCTATAAAATTATGCTTACGTAGAAAACCCGAGACTATTAAATATCACGCTGGTGACCTGAGAATTCTCATAAATCGAAAGTTCAAATCATGAAAAATGGCCTTCGAGTCATGAAACACTTTACTCCGATTAAATTTAGGCTGCGCCACCCTTGTACCCCCAACGTCACATGGACTATATAAACACTTTCAGACAATTACAGGGCCTTGTAAGTGAATATTGATACACAAATGAAGTGTAGTGAAACCAATCTCTCGCGGCGTAGGTTTGAGACACGAGTGAGCGTCTATTCAGTGATTTTAATTAGATTGGTTGAAATTGGCCTAATGAAACTGGATGACGTGCACAATACCACAGTGAAAGTCAGGAAATAAACGACTTTTAATTTCCCACCTGAGCGCCACCACGGCTACTTTACTCAGGACAAAACACTCAACTATTTATATTACTGAATATCCTTTTTTTCAAATTGCCATACCTACAAAAAATGCTCGAAAGCCACCGATTACAAAGGTTATGGAAATTAACAATGACTTACTTATAATCATCCAAAGGTCGACTTCGATCAGGCACTACCATCTGATGGCCAGAGGCTCCCAAAGACGAATGCGACTGAAGAGGCATCATTGGTTGTGATGGAAAAACCTGAGATGGAATCGGTGTGGGATTCGAAACGAGAGGATTACGTGGGCCCATACTACATCCATTAGGTGTAAAATTCACAGATGATGATGGATGTTGATTTCTATAGTACAAAGGCCTCTGCTGTTGGTGAGAGCCGGATGTGAAAGACTGACCTCCCCGAATTTGGGTCGAAGGCCTCGCACCACAGGCATCCACAGCCAGTGGTGGTCGGTTAAATCTACCGCCACCACGATTACGGTGTGACTGTTGGCCAAAACGAGTAAATCCCATAGGGAAAGCGTTAGAGAGGGCATCGGGAGTAACGGATGAAAGAGGATAACAATCACCATGAGCTGGAGTGTTCGGGTTAGGATGAGGGAAGGTAAGGGGAGTAAGAAGAGGAGGAGCGTTTAAAGGTGAAGGGCAGGCAACATAGTGAGACGACTGCGGGTGTGAACCGTCCGGGTAGCAGAAAGTAGATGGTGGTAGAGGTAGTTGCTGGTCAATAATCTGAGATCTTGAAGGGGCTCCTTGCTGTGGTGGAGGAATGCTGATGGTATTTGGCTGCACTGGCCTAATTTGTACCAACTGTGACATGGGCTCCACGAACGGTGATGCTACGGGAGGAACTCGAAGTTGTTGAAGAGGTAAAACATTCATTCCTCCATTAGATAAAATAGCCAGACTCTAGAAAAAAAGGAACGTTGAGTATTATAATTATGAAGATAAATATCACCAATATTAAAAAAAACGAAAAAAAACTAATGAAATACGATAATGTGACTTTACACTCACAACTCAAAATAAAAATGGAAATTTGAACAGGAGAACCACTTCCAAAGAGTACACGACAATATATTTGGGTAAAGGAAAGACTTACAAAAGCCCTTTGTGAGACTCACTAATTTAGCAAGTACAATTGACCATCCAAAGTGTGCACCTATACATTGCTATGCGCATGTGAGCACGCTGCCATACGGTTAACCACGACTCACAAATTTCGACAACCACCTCTGACATTTTATCACGAGCAAGAAAGTAGTTTATAAATTTAAGGAAAAAAAGAAGACAACCACTAATAAACACCATACACCAAATCTCAATGGATTAAAATTTATCTACGTATTAGATTTCCACAAGCAAGATTTACAAGCTAACCTTTAATCGATCCGCTGCAGTAGTCGAAGAATAGAATCCATCTTGATTTTGAGGAACGCCATGATCAAATGTGCCAGGTGGCAAGGTAAGACTTCCTGGTTGGCCAGCGAAAGGTGCCTGATTCAGGAATTGGATACAGTTTGGCTGCGCTGCACCATTTATAACTGCCGCGGCAGCAGCTGCAAATGCATAAGGATCTGGCTGTTGCTGATGCGACACATCCAGCTGCTGCTGATGAAAGCCGGGTTCCACAGGAGGGCCTTGGGGAGAAAAAATATTGGGACATCCGGATGAAGAGAGATCAGGTGCCGTAGTTACCGGGGCGGAGGAACTTTGATGTTGATCATACACATAGTTGGGCCTAGGGTCTTGAGCAACTGAGAAAAAACCATTACTTGTATATGAGTGCATTTGAGAACTTTGAGGCGGTGGAGGAAAAATTTGCTGTTGTTCACGAGTCCCTCCTCCCATACGCATTCCACTCAACTGAGAAACTGAAAAATGGTGAGAGTAAGTTACAGATAAGCAAAATAAAATATGGGCAAAATGCGTTACAACGTACTCAATCTCTCAAGATCATCTAGAGAAATGGAAGGACCTTGAGGTCCATAAGGATTCATGGAAACTTGAATATTATTGAAATGTCCAATACGAGATAAACTACCGACATTCCCGTTTTGAATCAGAGGATTTTCTTGTGCAGATAGATATGGAGATTCAGAAGGATCCTCCGCCACTAAGAGTTGCGGTCGAAATTGAGAGTTGGAAGGGATTTTGGTTTCCACACTAGGTGACGAAGCATCCTGCGTATTCGGATCACCTATAGTAAAACAAAAAGGTTAAAATACTTTCAAGAGATTGAAAAGGAAAAAAAGTTAAATAGCTTACTTAATACGAAGTTTGTCACTTGTTTAGACAATTCACCGGCGTCTTTATTACCAGGAGACATTGGCAATAAAGAAGTGCCAAGAGGAAAGGCTAAAAAGGGATCAGAGGAAGAATCTTTGCCAACAGCAGAAGGACTTCCCCTTCCCCAGACAGCAGCGGTGGGTAGTCCACCATAATCGTCTGTCGAATCCCAGAGAGATTTGTGGGAAAATCGCATGCCTGACGTCTGTCCGCCGAAACGCAAATTTGAAGAGCCCTCAACACCCCATGAGAGCCCATTTTCGGGGTCATCTGCGAAACCTCTAAACGATAGGGAAGATTGTTTAGTAGCTGCCGTGTCGGCAGCATTTTTCTCTTCGAACGAGCAAGGATTTTTTGATGGTGAGCTTTGATCGCTATTCGGCTTTACCAAAGGTCGTCCAGGCGCATTTGGATCGGGATATTCGTTCATTGAGATTAATAAGTATCTGAAATAACTAACAGAAAGAACCTTTATTACATATACAAAACGAAGTTATTGAGAGAACACTTATACTTCTTTAATAAAAGAGAAAGTAAATTATTAATTCACGCATTAGAAATTTGCCATGAGACTAAAAAGCAATCTGAGAACTGTAATAAGCCGAACTTATGGTAATGCCGGTACCATAAGATTACTAGACTAAAAATCTTATCAAAATTTTCGCACCAAAATTAATGAATTTAAAAACCCTGATAGAACAAAAAGAAAAAATACAAAAAATGCAAGAAGCATAGGACTAATACAAAGGTAATCTAGAATTATTTAAAATTAAAAAATACTGCACAGCGTACGACGAGAGGAATAGAAAAGAAGCACTAAATAAATCTCCTGAAGATGGCGGCCTCGAGTTACAAGACCCATTTAAAACACAGTTTTATTCTGCACTTTCATTTAATATAATTTATAAAATTACGTATCTTTAATTATTAATTTTACTAATGCGATAAATAATGGTTGCAGATTTTCTGCATAAATTGTGAGTGACTTCTTACACTGCTTATGAAAAGTCTTGTATTTACTCATTGAAATCAATCTATTATGACCGTTCGTTACCCACATTCTACAATCATTTTTATCGCTTCTGTTTTTAAAAATCTGAATTTTCTAATCTTGCTCTTTATCAGATCGTCCTTGAATTCTCCAGCTGATTCATGCATGCTTCTAGATCATTGCTTAGCTTCTCCCTTATTAAATTTTAATCTCTACGGATTTTCTTAGTTCAAAGGCGTTAGTTTAGTAGCTTGTTACATTTCAATTTATTTTGGAAATTTTTTAAATGTATATCTTAGTTGTGCAACTTGATTTTATTTCTTGAAGTTTCAGATCCTTTTACTCCTTAAGGTATTTTGGTTATACTTCCATCTGAAATGACCAGAAAAGGTATTTTCGAATTTTTATCACAATATTTCTTTAGATCTCAAGGAAATTTGTGATACTGATGACAAAAACTATATCGATAGCTTATTTTTCGGTAACTTTCATTTAGTTATCACTGCCTTTAAATTTATCTTCCACAATGTCATGTTGCTTTATATCCTTCTGATTTTATCATTCTTAATGTGTACTTTTTTCATTCATGATGTTTCAAAATGTGTGTTTCATATCTTAATCATTAGATTCACTTCCGAAGTCAGCTAAAATGTTAAAACCCGAGGAGCTAACCGAAACCCCATTCATAATCGGTACTGAGGGGACGAGCTACGTAGATCAAACCTACTTCCAAGGCGATGCATTCCAAACCGAAAATGTTGCTGATTGTATCCTTGACATTCGGGAGCAGCTCTCTATCAATCAATACACTGGTGGAAGTAAGTTTGAATAAGTCTCACTTTTCTCATTATTTGTTGTATCTTATTATTCTTTTTTAATTTCGCTAGAACTTGATTTTAAAAAAAGCAAGAAGACTCCAAAAAAACGCCGAGATTCTCTTGGTTATCACATACCTGACGATGATTCGATAAAATTTCACCTCTTATCAGAAGACGAGGCTTCAAATGTTCTTTACAATTGCATAATTGGTTTAAATGGTAATTCAATTGACTAATCAAACATGGTTCCTTCTATAGAAAACGTAATTGCTATCAACAAGCCTCCTGGAATTGCATGTCACGGTGGGTTAATAGGGAATTTTATCCCTCTTTTGTTATATTTACTTATTTTAATTCAAGACGATAGTTCAAAGATGATTTTTCAATAGAACCATAATAGTGTAGATCATGAAGAGACTTTTTATTCCACTGAATGTGTTCACTAGTATAGTTGGACTTTCTATTGGCAGAATGTGCGTCTATAAGTATTGAGCCACCTTTGATAAATGTCACATTTTGAGCCCTTTTTACTATGGTGATATTTCCCATTCGTCTATTGCAAAGTTCAAAAGCTAAATTTCACAATTTCCTTTGCATATATGTACACTTTTCCCCCCACACAGGATCCTTTATATTCGTTGTTTTTTGCAAGGCTAAATCATTTCCTTCATTCTATTTTTTAAACTTCTATAATAGTTTAAAGCGATTTAAAATAATTTAAAAAGTTGAGGATACCCTTTGGGCAATATTTTTTGTAGAATAAGTGTATTTTGCGTTAGAGAAGCGTATTTCCCATATTTTTGAATCATCCTATTTTGGGTTATTAGAAAAGGTCTTTCGTCATATTTTCGAAAATTGTCCTTTGTTTCTGAAATACGACCAAGTGATAATTAGTGGACAATTACTCAAATACTCTTATACTTCATTTTGATCTATTTTTCGAGCATTGAATTATCTTTCTTTCAAGTTTGTTTTATAATAGATAATTTTTTAAGTTATAAATCCCATACTTTAGATGCTGTCTGCGAAAAAGTGCTTTTTATCTTTGATTGCTTACATTATCACGTTTTTACTTCCAGCTGTTCCAAATACCTAGAGCAACAATAAAAAATTAGCTTGATTCCGCATATTAGTCGCGCCTTTCGTAAGCAAATTGGATTTTGGACTACCTTGGAAAAGCTATCTCTCTCTCTCTCTCTATGCTTAATCAAAACTTAATAGTGCATTATTTTCCCATTGTCGTGTTTATAAGGCATATTTAATTCTGTATCATCCAATTCTCTAACGTATGTTGATTTTTGAAACGTGGACTATATTCTAGGTGGGGAGCGTCAGCGCTTCAGTGTAGATAGCCTTCTTCCCCGAATTGCCTATAGATTTCGTGCTGACGGAAATAACGATAGTGAAACTTTTCAACTGACTCATCGGATTGACAAAGAAGCCACCGGCCTTATTCTCGTATCAAGGTAATAGAATTCACAAAGTTCTACACTGCTTCCTACAACTACTTAGTTTAACCTTTCATCTGCATTTAGGAACCAGGACTCGCACCTCAAATTAACCGAAGCATTTGCCAATCGGTGGATTCGAAAATCCTACCTCTGCATTACATCTGGAATTCCACAAGTGAAAGAAGGCGATATCTACTTTCCTATATCAGAAAAATATGTTGGTGGGAAGTACCGTGTAGGTCTCAATAGATACAAATTTGATTTGTCAACTTACTCCATCCTACTTACAATTTTTCTCTTTAGATTGTTGCGCATCGTCCACCTACAAAACCTAAATCATCAGATAGTGACATTCTCTATGACGAAGGCGATAATGAAATAGAGAAATTATGTAAAAAGACCAACGCGATAACCCATTATAACATGCTAGACAGATGCAATGACGCGGCCTTGATTGAGTGCTTCGCCGTTACGGGTTTAAAGCATCAGATTCGAGTTCACCTAAGCACAGCTCTAGGCACTCCAATCCTAGGTGATCACAAGCACTCTCATTATGGGTTTCTAGCGCCACAGCGTCTCTCAAAAAGAACCTTGGGAGCTTTAGGAATTCGACAATCGAAAGTTCGCTATATAGGGCTACATTTACATGCTCACATGTTGAAGTTTGATGGAGGGCCCTCTCGCAATGCAAAGTCAGAAAACTTGTACCCAAATTTTGCATCGAAACCACCACCTCCTGGATTCTTCACCTTTTTAGGTAGAGAAAAGGAGCGGGAAGTTCGTCAATTTGTTGCTCCAGTGCCGTCATTCTTTCTACGCACTCTGGGCTTCTTGGGAATGAAAATGCCGCATGCCATGCCTTGGACTCGATTTAAGATGTTCTGAATATATTTTAACTACTTCCATTGTAGATATCATTTGGGCTGGTGTTTGTAACTTTAGGATGAATGGCAATTTACATAATAGTAATAATAAGAATCTTCGTAAAATGTTGACTTGTTTATTTTTAAAACATTGGTGTGAATTGATACACATCTAATTCTAGTTGCTCAAAAATTCTTTAATCTTTGGCTATTTTAGTTATAATCTCATATAAATTCGACTTTGAGAGGATAAAGGAAATTATTACACGCATACACCTATCTCCAATATCAGTCACCAAAACTGTCCTCTATGCTTGCTCGTTAGATGTTGCTTCTAGGCTCGATGCAATTACCCACTCTCCCCTATAAATTTACTCAACTTCCTGCCAAATAGCAATGGAGACGCATCGTTCAAAAACATCGAATTCTCACAAATGTAATGAGTAAGAGTTCTCTAGTCTAACCTGTGGTACCTACGTACTTATTCCAATATTTATCGATGGTGGAAGCTTTACCTGAGTAATGCTAACCCCTAAACTTCATTTATTTCCCTACTTGACAAGCTAACTGTATAAAGTGAATAAAAGTAAACATGCCTTGAACGAATTGGAAGACCTGATTTACCTCTCTCCCCGTGATAGCGTCCTCTTAATCTTGTGTCGTTGAAATTGGTCCAAATGAAGGTCCAACAAGCTGATTTGACCTAATGACAGATGAGCTTCAAGTGATTCGAATCTCAATTCCTCTCCATTCGCCTTATTTGTTGGCACATTTGATATGATCTTTGAATAAATTCACTTCTTATTGTATTACTACCTGATTATGTACTTTGAATTTGCGTTTTCTCCGCAAATTTAATGTTAACTTTTCGATCCCACTAATATTCCACAGAAATTGTGTTATGATAAGAAATGCTAGTACGTTGGAATGGGGTGCCTAAGTTCTGATTTTATTTATCATTCAGTGTTTTGTTTTATCCTGTCCTTTAATATCATTATTAAGTTAAGCATCCTAAAATAACAAAGCTTGATTTATCTGTAACCTCGACAGCAAAAGCCCTACGATTGGAAAATTTCGCTCTTATGCTATTGTGGGTGGGGTAAGCGATAGACTCACCTCCACGTGGAGCATTCAGGACAACGTATTCTCATACGGCAAAAAAGTCCATTAACCGGTAGTTGACTTCTCACTTCAAACTACCACGACCCCCCCCCCCTGGTTGTCATATTCGACCTCTTTCACAGTACTCACCTGACCTTTTTCTCTACCTTTGTGTCTGTCTGCCTCTTTTACCTCTTTGAAACACTCTTTTGCTACCCCCCCCCCTTCCTCTCGACTTTCTCTTTGATGTTATTCTTCTCTGTGAGACCCGAAGTCAGCTAATAGGCTAATGATAACTATCAAAACGTCTGCCATTTAAAGTAAATAAATAAATGTTATTGTAGGCTATGATTTAAATGTGAGTACGGAACTGATTGACCATTCAGTCCCTATCCTATTGCTCAGTTATCTCCCCCATTTCACGATAGTTCTGCAAAATTAGGGGAAAATCTCTTTATGAACACGAACTGGAGAACTAATTGTTACCACAGGTCAAAGCTGAGAAAAAACCATCAAGCTAAAAAGGTTATTACAGGATATCGCAAAGTTTTCTCGATCGATCCATTTGAATTTGAAATCCATTCATATGCTTAATTAGATTAGGGTTATTGGGTAGTATTGAGTGGTTGATTAGTCAAGCTGAATTCGTGCTATACTGTAACGCAAAGAACCAAAATCAGCGTTTGAATACAGGTTGCAATGTAATGTTGGTTATTTTATGGTTTTAATTGCACCCCTAGAAAACGGATCTCATCACAGGATTTTCAAATTTTCATAATCAAAGTGCCTGCACTGTATCATAAAATTCAAAGTTCTAGTTTTTAAAATATGATAACCATTCAGTTACTTTGCAATTTCTATACGCAAGGTTAATTCTTGAAAGAGCAACGTATCCTTGGTCTCATTAGTTACGCTGTAGCCATTGGCTACAACGCATGAAGTGGGGCACAATCATCACTGGTACACTACATTTATCATCACTAAACAAAAGTTAGATAACTCGCCTTCACTTCATTCTCAATGAACGAGACAAAAGAAGAAAGTGAACATGTAGAGGCAGCAAAACGAATAATCGTCGAACGAATAGAAGTGTGGTATGCTAAATTTCACCCTCCTGCTGTCACTACAATTTCAAAAGCTATCAGTCCGCCATTGCGAAACATAACAAGCTTTGATCTAGAAGCTGCCGGTCTCCGTGCCCTTCCTTCATCGAATGTTCTTGGAGCCCTGCCGTGTCTTCAAGTTCTTAACCTCCGGTACAATAAACTCAGAAGTCTCAATGGTGGATTACTTCAATGCCGGTGCCTGGAAGAGCTTGATCTTGATGATAATTACCTCAGATCAGTTCGAGGTGAACTGAAAAATCTGCATTGTTTACGCTTACTCTCGGTCAAAAGGAATTCCATCGACAGTGTGAATGTGCGTCTTAATAATAGATCAAAAATTAAAAATGTCGCTCCTTTTATCCATATTCATACGACAATATCTTTTTATTCTACGAAAGACTTACCTAAAAATGTTTCGAAATTATGCCTAGGACACAATCAATGAATTAAAACAAATGCACAGGATTCAGCAGGTGGATTTTAGGGGAAATCCCTTAAAAGAGGAGGAAAATTACTCCATTAGGATGTGGAAGGCACTTCCGAGCCTGACAGTTCTTGATTCTCGGAAGAAATTTACGGACAAATCCTCATTTGAAGCAGTTAAAATTTCCGGAAAGCACGAGGAGACTGAAATTAGGTAAATATTTACTAATGATGCTATTGATTAAAGTATTTACCATTATGCATCCTGATTGCCATGGCAACAAAGGCAGTAGAAACAAGAAATCAGGGAGTATTCCAAGTTTGGACAGCAGCATTTATAAACAGTGTAGTGAGTGCTGTCACCAAGAGTGGTTCAGTAGGAGTCCGCATAAAAAAACACTTTAAGGTATCCAAGACAGGAGCAAAAACCATCAATGGAAACTCGGTTTGGAAAGCCATTCATCAGTCAGGGCAAGATGTGCACAGTTCAAACCATTACAATTTCCTTTGAACAACACCACCACAATGATCACCTAATATTGAGCGAAAATACACTTTCAACCACAGATAAGTTATGAACAATGGTATAAATCAAACACAGAGAGAGGGGGGCAAAAAAGGGCGTGACGAGGATAGCGGAAATCTGGCTTCAAAGGAGCCTCTATTTATCTGAATTTTAGTTTATCCTCCTGGTAGGTTTTTTCTCAAACTGTCCTAGGTTCAAGCTTCTACGTTTTCATCAATAGGTTTAGAAGGATAGTTGGCTTCATTATCTTTTAACAAAATAAATTTCATTCTGTCCTCAAACGTGTCTAATTCGTCCATTTAGTCCACTGTCATGGAAGCAATGCAACACTCAGTGCCCTTCACCAGATATGCTCTCGCTTCCTTGGGGATCTGTAGAACTTTGTAGGTGGTTCACGGTATATTGCAGATAGTGCAAGCCCACGAAGTTCTGAAATAATTTATTGGTAGATTTATTTAGGAGTTCGGTTATGTAATGTCGTTATATTTATCCCCTTTGCTACCCAATGGAAAGCTAATTGATGCAAACTAGTTTTTTGTTTAAATTACTAACGGTGACATTTTAATCAGAATATATATATATATATATATATATATATATATTTCAAACGGCAGGCGTTTTGATAGTTATCATTAGCCTATTAGCTGACTTGGGCTTCATGGAATAAGGGAACATCAAAATGAAAAAGATCGGGAGGGGGAGTCAGAAGAGTGATTCACAGACATTAAAGAAACAGACCTAAGGCAGAGAAAAAGGTAATATGAGTACTGTGAATGGGGTCAAATATGACATACAGTCGGGTCATGGTAGTTTGGAGTCAGAAGTCAACTGCCGGTTAATAGAGGGGTAGTTTGGAGTCAGAAGTCAACTGCCGGTTAATAGAGTTTTTTGCCGTATGAGAATACGTTGCCCAGGGTGCACCACGCGGAGATCAGTCTATCGCATGCCCTAAAGAGGTGCAGCTTGCTCTTCTGCCATCCATTTTCAGAACTGGTCAATTTGGCAGATGAGTTGTTACACACTCCTTGGAGGTTGCCGACTTCCATGGCCAACGTCTTGAAAAAAAATGTGGAACGCTTCACGATTTTGTTTGTCATCCTTGTTTAAATTACTAACGATGACATTTTAATCAGAATGTGTAGAAGTAATGAAAAAATGTTTTGCAGATTTCCTTAAATTCGCCATTTTAATAAGTCTATACTATGAAATTTCAGAAAGAGTAAATTAAACTCAACTGCAAGAATCTGTGAACGTTATCGTCGCAGTCTGCTTCGAAAGGTCTACTTGACGAAACAGATCCAAACTGATGAAACAGGTCTGAATATCGATACTGCTGACGATAAGATTTATTTTTTAAATGGTTCATAATTTAAAAAGACCTTAATGCTATTAATACAATATTTCCAAGACATGCTCCGCAGGAAAGCCTAAATAGGTCACAAGGTGCCAATGCTAGGAAAATTCCTCACACTATTATGATATTCGTTTAGAATGAACTTGAGATATAATGCAGGGTTTAAGGGTTGATGAATATTAAACGATGATAAAGTACTTTAATAAATTCCGAACTCCGTTACTACTTAAATAATTTTAGTAAGACCTACTTTATGGCCTTTCTGGGTAAAAAGTTCTCAATGTAGGGAGTTTCATTTTGAAGGGCTCTTTTAAGCAGAGGTTCGTGAGATCGATTCTTTCCTTATCAAGAAGAAGTTGAGCAAATGCAAAATAAAGCAGGCAAACCATTTTTGACAGAGTCTGCAATACAATTTATAGATAAGCCAAAAGATATTTTCTGACTCACTGAATTTGATAAGGATCTTTATTGAGAAAATTCAAGGGCGTATATAAGGTTTGCACCAACCGAATCACTACACTCATTTCATAACATTATTAATTGCGATTTTAAGTCAAGTAATTTTAAATTTTAATTGGAGTTCGCTCTCTATTCAGCTTGTCTAATAGACGAATATCGCAACTGCTTAGATGGGGCAACAGTCACTGTACTAGTCCTCAATGTCAGTAGTTATGGTTTTGACTCCAATCTGCTCATATAGAGTGAGTGAAGTCGCAAAACCGATCCTTACCAAGCTGAGTGAGACTGAATTCGAGTCTCCCACGATTATGATACTGTCCAACCACATTTATTGCACTTTTATTTTATATATATATATATATATAACTAATGAATTATGCACTTCAGTTTAAGTAGTCGCCAGTGATCAACGTTTGGACAAGCCTAAATCTAAATTGAGTCAATAAAGCATATCCTGTACCAAGAAAGCACATCTATGCCTCATAAATAATTTAATATCCTATCATTCTTTTGAGTATTTCATGTTTTCTTTCAACGCCCAAAGGAAGTGCAGTAAAAACGGAAATTTAGGCGTCCAATAACTCAACCTATAGATTAATCACATGTCCCTCCGTGTGGGGCAAAAGGCAACCGCTAGGCATCTTAAAATGAACAGAAAGAACCCGGCTTTTTTTAAAAAGTAAAAAACTTCTAGCTTTTGATTAAATTTTATTTTTAATTTTATATCTTGGTTTTGTAAATATTTGCTCTTAATTTCAATGAGGTTTTGATTGATGTTTGATGTTAAGTAGCCAAAAAGCTTTGTAAATAGATGATCGCAATAACGATCCCCGGACGAAAAAAAGTTTAAGAAGTGGCGTTCTGTTTGAATTGTATGAATCTCGGAAACTGATTGTTAGACTACAAAGATGGTGGTGACTAGTATTTTGACAGCTCGTTGCGTAAGATTGTCAAGAGTTTTCATACAAACTCGAAGACTTGGACTGTCTGGGAACTTGGCGATGAATGCTCACGTATGATTCGAAGAATAAGGAAAGCTTCTTGGTATATGGTAAATTTAACTTTCCCCTATAGAAGAATAGGCGAATTTCAGAATGGGATATGGGCTAATTTAAGTAAGGCACTGTTGCATGTAGTCAAGCTTTAAATACTACTAGTGAGAGAGTAATTGCTTTATGAGTCATTGAAATGGAAAAATTTATTTATTTATTTCAAATGGCAGGCTTTATGATATTTATCATTAGCCCTTTTATTTATTTATTGATTTCAAATGGCAGGCATTTTGATAGCTATCACTAGCCCTTTAGTTGACTTCGGGCTTCACAGAGGGAAGAGTCATCAGAGTAGCAGAAAGTCGAGGAAGGGGAGCAGAAGAGCGATTCACAATGTAAAAGAGGCAGACAGACACAAAGGTAGAGAAAAAGGCAAGATGAGTGTTGTTGTCTTAGTAATTTAAAGTCAGAAGTCAGCTGCCGATTAATAGACTTTTTTGCCGTATGAGTATACGTTTCCCAGGGTGCACCACGTGGAGGTAAGTCTATCGCACACCCCGAAATGGAAAAATAGCCTTGAATATACTGCATTCCGCGAGGCCAACGCGCAGGCAAAGTTGGAGTAGTGATTTCCAGCAACTTTATAAGCAAATTTTATGTTCTTTTTTTTGAGGGAAAAATCGCAGCTAACATTCATGACCTAACAAACTTAAAAGAGCCTATGTGCGCAATTTAGCCAATTTCTAGCCCATTAGGATTAGGGGAAATGAGGAAATTAAATTAGGTACAAAGCATTCAAAGTTTATGATTTGTAATTGCAAAGAGGGAAACTAGAGAGGTGAAATTTTACCTTAAATTCTATAAAACAACAAACTTTATGTCGACACAGTTACGGCAAATAATTTAATTGCCAAAGGAAAACGATTATGCAGAGTGATCGAGATGTAAATAATTAATGCCAAAGGAAGACTTTTTATTACCAAATTGCAATTCCTAAAGATCTAATCATGGAATTGCACCTTGGCATGCAGAGTAATAGCTAGTTTTTACCCAGTTGGATTTCACGCTTTGTTGCCTTAGATTCAGGAAATAGTTGGTTATTTGGGGAAAGAATGGAAGATCGTTTAAAGCTTACCAGAGGTCACCAGCACCCAGCTGTATGAACTCCAGTTATTTAATGTAGAAAATTACATCCTGATATTAGGAGGAACCATCGCAGTAAATACAAGATATACACGATATTTTTGAGCTTTGCCACCAGATTTCGACCATGAAGGGAACTAATTTTGCACGAAAAATTTTAAATATTTTTTAAATTATAAAATGGGGGTGCGCGATAGACTTACCTCCACGTGGTGCATCCTGGGCAACGTATACTCATACGCAAAAAAGTCTATTAACTGGCAGTCGACTTTTCACTTCAAACTACCATCACCCCACTGTATGTCATATTCCAAAACTTTCACAGTGCTCATCTCACCTTTCCTCTACTTTTGTGTCGGTCTATTTTACATCCGTGAATCACTCTTCTGTTCCCCCTCTCGAATTTGTCACACTTTGATGCTCCTCCCTTCTGTGAAGCCCGAAGTCGGCTTAAGGCTAATAATAAATATCAAAACACCTACCATCTGAAATAAAATAATAAAATACATTATAAAATGAACTACTTTATTATGTGAAAGCTAGAGAATTTAAATCATTGAGCTGGTATCTTTTTTCAATATTATTTCCAAAAATTTAGTTTTGGATAAACATTCTCTCAAAGAAATACCAAATAGATTTAATAAAATTGTTTTAAATTTATATTCAATTACAATTTATTTGTGCACTTTTTACTTTACGGTTCCAAAAATTTATATTGTTAAATTCTTTTTTTGAAGCACGTAGAGAGCAAGTATTCTTATCCTAGAACGATATGGATCTGGAGATTTAGAGAGAGGGGGGGGG